TTACATATTTATATAATGAGTTTAACTTGAAAGGATTATTTATAACAAGTGAATTAAAAATTAATACGAAAATAATATAAAGAAAACACCTGCACTTTAAAATCGTACACGTTGAAACTTTTTTCGATGAATTAATAATTATTTAAAATACATCGAACATTCTAATGTATTTTATTAATATTTTCGATTGTTTAATACTAAAATACATATTTTTTTAACGTTTCTACTAGGTAATGATATTTTAATTCGAAAATTTGCATCTAAAAAAATATGAATACAATAGATAGATATGTCATTTTTAAACAAATATACTTTGTATTACTTTAATTGTTATTAAACTGATACTAAAAAACATTTAAATAACAGGAAAAACAAAGGATGACCATCTATTAATTGTTAGACATGAAAATCTCGGATTTTTTCTTCTGTTATATCAATGTGTACGATTTTATAATGTAGGTGTATTTCCTGTAAATTATTTTCGTATTTGTTGAATTCATTCCTTATAAATAATGCTTTCAAGTTAAACTCGTTAATTGATATTTAATTAAAATATACTAATGTATTTATTTTTAAATTTTCTTCATCCTAAATACATTATATCAATAGTTTTCAAGCAAAAGTCTAGTAAATGTAACGGTGTATGATTTTAAGGGACACTCACTGTATATTAATTGTCAGTAAATTTATTTAATACGGTTAAACAACTTCCGAAAGTTTTCAAGCCGTACTTCGATATTTTAACTACGAAATACACAAGCAGTTATCTTATCATTTTCAACATTTACAATGATATCATTTTAATTACATATTTTGGATGGTTTATGTGCAATAAAAGAAGTTTGCGCTCAAAAATTTCTCCTGGTAATACATCATCATAAAAGTTACATCATTTTCATTAGCGATTTTATAACATTACAGAATAAATAGCCCAACTATAAATTCCATTATCTTTTTCTTTTTGTACAACGTTCTTTAACTACTTTTTCTTTTAACGAATATATGCTTATAAATTATGACCGTAAATACGATCATAAAATATGAAAATATTTAACAGGGAAACTCAAGAACTTTGACTTTATACATTGCACCGAGTATTTGTTGAACAAATAAATAAAAAAAATTATTTCTATATATATGTATATATGCATATATATGTATATATATATATGTATATATATTTATAAATTTTACAAAAATGTAGAATATTTTCATACATTTAAAATTGTACAAGATAAAAGTACAATCAATGCACGAATTGTTTTGATTTAAATATCCTTACAGTATTATCAGCACCGCCTGATACTATAAACTTTGGATTGGACCAGTTACAACATAAAACCTTATCTTCATGTCCAGAAAGATCGAATAGGGGTGCTTTAGGACTGTAAACATATATATATTAATAATCATGATTTAATTTGTACTGCAATTAAAGAAATATCAATATTATAAGATAGATGTACCTTCTAGTATCCCAAAGTTTTACTTCGTTATCACATGCTCCTGAAAGGAATAAATGATGATCTACTGTTGACCAGCGAACAGTTTGTACCCATTGTGTATGTGAAGTAAACATAGCTTTTACAACTGCTCCTTCTGTAAAAATTCCATGAAAATAATAGTGACTAATAAATCATAAAATCAATTTTAGGTGATATAAACTTATTATTTAAAATTATATTTCTATGTAGTACAGAATTAGACTATTGAAAAGTTACATACCTGTTGATCTGGGATCATATAGTCTAACATGTTTATCAGCAGACGCCGTTATAACAGTCCGAGATAATTCTGAGTAATCAAGATCAAAAAAGCTTTTATTTCCCATTATTTCATGCTTCATTCCACCTAATTCAGAATCCCATATTTTCACAGTGTGATCCCACGATGACGTTATAAGTTCTGTTTTATCTGACCATGTAATACCACTGATAGCTTCCTTGTGGCCTTTCATTGTTCTTTTAGGTACCTATAATTAATAGTTACATTTTAATTACATTATATATATATATATATACTTAATATATAACATCAAGCTTCATTTTTATTATAATATATTACTTACTCTTGTTTTTCCATGGTCTGATTTTAATTTTTTTGCATTAGGTTCGCCATCTTCTGTTTCATCTTGTGAAGCTGATATATATTGACAAATAATTAATATATTCGATTGTGTTATAAATTATCCTAAAGAAATAATTAACACATTGACTGCCACATCGAATTTACATGATGCTTCCAGATGGTCACAACAAAATAATACAATAGATCATAATTAATTTTTCTCTCTAATACAATATATAATATTTTAATCATTTAAACATTTGAGACACTCCAATCACTGATAACCACCTGGTTTCATCGAAGAAACAAACTCTAGTTGCTAGTAACTGACATAGCAGTCAATTTGTTACATTAAATCTAATAAATTTTCTAACAATATATTTTTCTAGATTCATTTTCTTTTTGTTTTATCATTTCAGCTATCTTCAGTAATTATTTTCATCTCGTATTGAATAATATTATACAAAAGAAAAGTAAAGAAAATAATGCTTACAGGTAGACCAAATTTTCAGCATCGTATCCCATGATCCTGTTGCCATTAATGATTTATCATAATTCACACCAATTGCTTCTAATCCTCGTTCGTGTCCTTTGCATACATGGATACAATCTACAGAATTGGTTTTGATATTCCAATCCCATATTATTGCTGTCTGATCGTGTGATGCACTATACTTATAATAAAAAACATGTTATTATCGTATGCATATGTGAGCCATACATTTGCCAAATTGATTAATTCCACATAATAAAAAATTAAACAAAATTGATAAAGTAATATCTATTATCATATCATTTACTATTAATCGGTCATAAAAAATAGTCTTACTTAACAATGTTGTCTAATTATTAAACCTTTCGCTAATACAATTCTATATCATAGCATTCTGTATGCTAGTGTCGACTGATCAGAAATGGATTTTATCCATAGTGGTCATTTTTTGTCATAAGTGTCCCAAGGTGAAAGGGCTAAGGAATTTTATTTTAAATATAAAAAATTAAGTATTGATCACACACACACACACACAAGTGTTTCAATAATAAAAATTTGTTTAATTCTAAAAGTAGAGTTAATCGCTTTGGCCTACGAACAGCTCATATAACTTAGATTTTTCATAATTACTTTACCTAACAAATTTTCCATTTGTTTCATTCAAAGATACCCATGCTACGGCTTTGATAGCAGATGTATGTCCAGGTATCACAAGTTGATGTTTTGCTTTAGATGTCCATATGTGTAATGTGTTATCGTAACAACCTGTTAATATCCTATAAAAAAACAAATAATGAAATTAATGATATTTCATCTGATAAAAAGATCTATGAAATCTCACAAATAAATATTTTAATATTAACCATTTGTCGCATACAGCTACTGCAGAAACCCAATCATCATGAATAAGACAGTCCTGTGGCTCTGGTGGTTGATGTTTTTCAATATACTCTATATCTATTACTTGTTCAGTAGAAAGATCCTTTTCAGATATATGTTCAGATAATGTAGTACGTAAGAACTGTGATGAGATTAGGAAATCAAAATCTATCTCCTTATCCAATTGACGAGACTCTACAAATTATGTAAATTAATTTAAAAATAAATTTATATATATATATATATGTATTAATTCCTTCATTTATGTGTGAATTCATTTTAACAAACTGAGTTACCAGAACCCTCATGTTATCCCAATGTGTTATGTAAATACATACATTTTTGGATAACACAGTGTAATTAATTTCTTAATTGAGTAAAGTTATTTATCTTTCTTGGGGTAAGAGCTACATACATATTTGAGAACGTGGAACAGATTATTTTTTAAAATGATTTTTCATGGTTCCATTTACGCACTCTTTTCGTAGAACTAATTACTCACATAAATGAAGGAATTACTATATCTATTTAAAAATTATAAATGATATAAAAACATTGGATTAACCTTTTATGAGCTCATTTACAAGATTATTTAATTCATTTGTTGTAATAGATGTAAATACTGATAAAGGATAATCTGGAACAGCATATCTACAAGCAAATATGAATACAAAATCTTATTAATTATTATACTAAAATAAATAAGTAAACATATATATATACAAATATATATAAAACATAACCTCAAAATATGAATATATTTTAACAATAAAGAAAATTAAAACAACTTACTGTTGCTGTTTGGTAATTAATCTTATATTAATATTAGCCATTATAACCTCGTTAAAACCAAACTTCGGTTCTGGAAACGTGCGTTTTATAAAAGCCGATCTTTTCGTACATCCAAAGAATACAAAAGTACATAGAATATCACAAGTCCACTTTTCGCATAACCTGATCACCAGTGGGCGCTAGTATATACTTAACGCGATGACAATACAAACTATTAAAAAATACAGAATTCTTCTTGAAAGTATATGATATACTATGTAAAAGAATTGTAAATAATTATATTAAATTTTTAGTTTACAAACATGTGTGTGCCTTCAGAAATGCATATATACAATTATTTAAAAATGCAGTCATTTAAAAAACTCTAGTAAAAGTCACTCAAATAAGGTTGATGTTTATTCCAACGATGATCACCTGTAACAAAAAGCAAACAATGTTAATCATAAAATCAAGTGATAGAATAGCCTGACATATAAATCGTCTAATTCGCAGATGCACTTTTCAATTGAATTCTATATTTACTTTAGATCAAATCTTTATTTACCGTTGCAATGAAAATAAATTTAAACGCGTGATTTTACATTTATATAAAATATATAAAAATAAAGAAATTTATAATAATTAATACGTATTATTTTTGTTAGTAACTTAATATTTTGACTTTTCCTATTTCTTTAGGTTTTTATTCTATTAATACACGTAAGACAATATAGCCTAATTCTGTATCCGAAAAGCAAAAAGTAAATCAATTACTACCATATTTTTATTTCATCATATACTAAATTTATTTAATAATTATTAAATGTATAAACATATATACAATTATCCATAAGAACTTATAATTAGATTTAGAATTTGTAAGATACTTACAATAAGAAGAAGTTTTGTACAAATAATTTATATCATAAAAACAAACATAATAGAAGAAATATTAGGTTTATTTTTTTGTTTTACTACATATTATTAATTTTACAGGTGCACGAAGTGCATATTGTAGTTCTTTTTCACATGCTTGTGCAATAAGTTTAATACGTTCAGCATTTTTACCAATTATAATGGAAGTCTTTTTTTTACTAGAATTTTCTACTATAACAGAAGCAATTATTCCTCCTTCTGAAGATTTTTGCAAATATTCTAATGTCAAATGTGACAAGTAAGGAATTTCATTAGGTAGAAAGTCCAATAGTTTAGCACGTACTGTTTGTTTTACGATTGTTTCTATTGATTGATCTGTATAAGTTTCTTCGTTATATTGCCAATTTTTAGATTTTGCAGAATACATTAAATACTCCTGTAATAAATAATAGTGTTAAGTATAAAAGCATAATGAAAATTAATTAAATATTTAAAATATACATACTTTTAAATTATTTATACCATCAGAAGTTAGTGCAGATATTAAAAATACATCAGAGAAATTTGGCCAACAGTTTTTATTTGTTAATATTCTAATAACCTCCAATAGTGTATGTTTATCTTTTATTCTATCAATTTTATTTATAATTAGTATCGTAGGTATTTCAGATTGTAGAGATTTCAATAAATCAAGAATATTGCTATGTAACTTATTTCTAGTATGCCTGTTCGATACATCGTGTACAACTCCAATAATATCTGCTATGTTAGCGGAGGCCTTTGGGTCATCCTGAAAGCTGCTACTTAATTTATATCTATTTTGTTCATGTTTTGTTACAAGACCAGGAGTATCAACAAAAACAAGTTGCGTATTTTCTGATGAATATACTGCATCACATTTTGTTTGAGTTGTATGAACTTTTGACGAAGTAGGACATATCTGGAACATAATTTCTTACTATTAACTATGATGTTTTATAACATCTATGACTACATACTCTTAAACTTTACACTCATTTAGTGAATGAGACTCAACATTTTTTAATTACAAGGTTTAACTCTTTTTGGACAAACAACGCACATGTGTTCAATGTAAACAATACACTTCCAATACTATTTTGGAAAAATATAATACTAAAAATAATTATTTATATTAGTTTTCATCAATTAACTGTTTTCTTAAGTACAATTAAAATAAAACACTTAAAATAATGTGGAGTTATTTGGACCGCAAAGGGTTAACAATAATTACAAATACTTACAGATCTATTTACAAGGCTATTTATAAGGGTGCTTTTTCCAGCATTTGGTGCACCAATTATTGCAATTCTTAGAAATGAAGTATTTTCTCTTCGTATAGATGTAAAATTGGTTTCAGGTGTTAATATATGTTCTTCAGATTGGTTTTGTTGACAAAAAATAGCCTTTAAAGTAAACTGTCGTGTTAGACAGTATGTTTTTTGTATTATACGCTTTTGAATAATGCACAACATAATTGTATCATACGTTAAAAAACAATAATATCAATAAAAAATACCAATAAAATGGTAAAAATAAATACTGTTCCTTTCAATAAAGACAACAAATCTGTTATAATTTGTAGTGAGTTTAGTCACTTAAAGTTAGTTCTATAAAATTATGGGTTGGTTTCTATGTATTTTTATATTTCATATATTTTTACATCAAATATTTTACATTATGATCAAAGTTATAAAAAATAAATATATTTCACGTTAAATCTTTAATGAGAAATTATAATAAATTTCATATTCTATGATATATTCAATATATTATTTTAATTATTGTATCAATTCAAATTTCTATTGCGTATTCGCCATGTTCTTTTTATAACCTGACTTATTGTCATTTTAACACTCATGGGATCAACAAAGTATTATTATATTCACTCGCTAATAATAATATAAAAAGGCGGGATAGTGATATTTATCGTTTAATCATGGTAAAACAATTCGTATTGTTTAATTAATTATTATTTATTATATACATATGTTAAACTAATTCAATAATAATTTATTTCTAGTTACCATTATCGTTATTAAGAACTGCACAAAACCATCCTATGGTAATGCTATAACCTCTTCAAATAACAAATTTGTTATAAATGATATATTTTAATAAATATTATTATTCTTTTATAGTTAGTTGAATTAAAAAATGGAGAAACTTACAATGGCCATTTAGTTAGTTGTGATAATTGGATGAATATAAATCTTAGAGAAGTCATTTGTACATCTAGGGTAAGATGAATATTTTAAAATAACAATTATTTTTCTTTCATTATGTACAGGGTGTAACAATAATTTGCAACGTATTTAAGAATAAATTAAGATCACACTTGAAAGTTATATAATTTAGAAATTGAACATTTTAATACCAATATTAACATAACTTCTTTTTTTTCTCTGCATATAAGGAATCTATTTCTAACATTTTTTGTGTCATGTATATTTTTTACGTTATAATAAAAATATATATAATAAAACGTATATAATAGGATGGTGACAAATTTTGGAGAATGCCAGAATGTTATATTCGTGGAAGTACTATTAAATATCTCAGAATACCAGATGAAGTAATAGATATGGTTAAAGAAGATGTACAAATGAAATCAAGGGGACGTGGGGAAATGAAAGGAAGAGGACAAAATCAGAGAGGAAGAGGAGGTGGTAGAGGTATGATGATCTATTAAGTGAACATTTAATTATTTATATTCATAAATATAATATTAGACAAATATATTGGTTTAGGTACTTTTGGACGTGGTGGTAGAGGTTCAGCTCCATTGGGTCGGGGAAGTGGTAATCAGGGGGGAAATAAAGCTCAAAATAAACCACGTATTAAATAATAATGAGTTTCTTTTCTCTTACAATTGATTTTTATTTGAGCCATTCGTAGGTCAAAACGATTAATTTCACTTGTAGAATTTCATTATATTTTAATAACAAAGAATTTAATTGATGCTTAATTTTTCATATTTCAAATTTATTTTTATTAATAATGAGTTTAAGGAAAAACCTTTTGTACCGCTATTAAATAATAAATGATATAACGATGTATATAACTTCATAAATTTTCTCTGCTTTTTGTTGTTTCATGAAATTAATCGATTTGACAAATGAGCTGCTTATTTATCATGTTAGATTTTATTACAACTCAGAAAACAACCAAAAATATATTGTAGAAACTGTTATTTCCTCTTTTTAATATTAATTCTAAATATTTATATGCTTTTATGCGATATAAGCTGTTTACAAATGAAAACGATTAAACTTCACTACTAGAAGTTTGGGAAAGTTTTATTAATAAAAAATTAATTCTTTGTATTTAAATATTATATTCTCAAATATGGACAAAATATGAAGTACAAGCGTAATAGAAGAGCAATATCCTCTTTAAAACTGAACGTTTATCTGTTTAACCACTAGTTTCTTGGGAAAATGAAACATAGAGTATATAAACAAGCCTTAAATTTGTTTAATTTTTCAAACTCGATTTTCTCGCAATTGTCTGCATGACACAATTACAAATTACACTTGTTAAGAAGTCTAGATATAGTTTACACAAGCGATGAAAATGAATTGAATCGGTAATAGGAAATTGAAGTATTCCCCTAGTAAGTTATAAAGGAAAAATCAAATTTAAATATCAATGAAATGATATATATGCATTAGTTGCTTTATTATATTTGTTTTTTTTTTTAATAATTTGATAATTCAGAAAGTGGCAAGTCTATTTGTAACTAAAAAACACTATTTACTTTTTTTTAATAATTTTATTCATTATTATTACATATCAATATTTTATATAAGTTCGTATTTTAAAAAATATTACACGAATTTATTCACGTTTAACAATATTTTTCAAATAAATTAAATGCAAATCTTTAAATATCTCAATCTATGAATAAACGAATTCATACCACTTTTAAATATAATGGTTCATATATAATTTGTACTTTTTCTGTTTTGGGAAGTAAATCTCAATTTTGTAATTGAATGGTTTATATACTAATAGTACTAACACGGTTATAAATTGCAATAATATTATTAGCTTAAATATTTATAAAATTTATTAATTATTACAATCTTCTTTTTTTCACAAAACGTTTAAAATATGTTTTCTTCGTTAATTGACAGGCAAGTTTAATATAATAAAACTGAAGCCTTTTAAAAAAGAAAACAAATTTATTTGTATCATTTACATCTATTAGAGTGATTAAATTTACGTGATTATTATAGCTACTATACATAATATTTAATATTTAAACGTAGAATAGAATTACGATGATATTTACCCCAACATTTGGATATTTTATTGTGTGATTTAAAAAAAAAACATTTATGATAGTGTAATTATACACTTATACGTATAGTATATCAAACTTTTGGTTTATCAAGAAAAATAAATTGTGTATTATAAATAAATCTTGAGTGCACAATGATCCAGATACATTGCAAAAAGTATATATATACTTTTATCCCTGTTTAGTCTACTCATTTGAGTAATTGTTCTTGATTCTACAGTAATAGTAAGAAGTTTTACTATATGAAATCTAAATAGAAAATTACAATCAAACATCATTATAAGATCTCATTCTTAAAATAAATATCTAACTTATTGATTATAATAACACATACCTAATAAAGCTTAAACTTGATTTGCATCGAGATCTAATTTATCGTCCTTCAACTGTAATATTAACACAATTACATTAATATAAATGTATATATAATACATATTTTTACGATTTATAGATATCTAGAAAAATGTGTAGATATATTCATGAAACTTACTATATGATGCAAGATCTATTTCATCTGGCAATTCTGTAATGTTTACGTCAAATCTTTCCTGTACGTCATTTAATATTTTGGCATCATTTTCATCGCTTACTAACGTGATGGCAAGACCCTATAAAAAGTAATGAAATAAGTTATTATATTATAATATTATAAAACAAATCGATAAATTTAAAGTATAAACACAAATAAATATATGTATTTTACCTTTGTACCAAAACGTCCTGCTCGCGCTACTCTGTGAAGGTACGTATCAGAATCTTCGGGCATGTCGTAATTAAATACGATATTAACACGTTCAATATCCATCCCTCGTCCAAATAAATTAGTAGCTACTAAAATTCGCTAAAGAGAACAATTTTTCTTATTATATAAAGAATATCTCACGATATAGCCCATATTAAATATGATTAAATAACATACTTTTTGAAAATCTTTGAATTGTTGGTATCTTGATAAACGTTCTTCTTGGGTCATTCCTCTATGAATTCCAATTGCAGGAAAATTTTGTTCTGTTAGTAGTTGTGCCAGAGCCATGCATCTTTGTACTGATTTAACGAATATTACAACCTATAAAGTAATTAAATATTAATTGATTTCGTACATAAAAAATAATTTGCACATATGCAGAATATTATTTTCATAGACAAACCTGATTGAATTCAAGTACATCTAATAATTCGAAAAGCTTCTTGTTTTTCTCGTTTTCTTTAAGTTTCACGTAATGTTGTTGGAGGCCGTGTAATGTTAGCTTTGCTTCGTCATCAACATAGACTTCCATGGGCTGCGCAAAGAATGGTTTTGTAAATTAATTTTATCCCATTTTAATGATTAAAATGCCTGAATTAATTTCAGACTCTATAACGATTAATTTTTTAACATTATCATCAAATTGTTTCTTCTTTTATTTTTCTTTAATTATTTCATACCTTTATTTTGAAAAATTAAAACAAAATATAAGGAGTAGTAATTGGTTTGTTAACGAAAACAAAAAAATTTATAAAGAAAATAAATAAAAGACAGAGAAGGTAACACAATTTGTTTCTATGCATTTAGAATGTTTGAAATACGAAACAAAACCTGTTTATCAAATATTAAATGAACGATCGGATAAATGTTTTCTTAAAACAAAATTCTATGAAGCACAAGTAGATATATAGTGTAAGTGGAATTTTCTTTTCCCTCAATGGAAAAGTTTGTTTTCTTCCTATCATTATTTAGAAAAAAAAGACACAGCACATGAAAGCCTCATGAGACTTCCATTTTTTTAGTTCCAAGATCTGCACACTTCGTTGTTCAGATTATGCATATTGGTTACATACGGTTCGGCGACTTCCACCTCTGGGTAGTGCCAACAATGAAAACTCAGCAAGCAGTCACCCCAAGAGAACTAAGATGGCGCACCCATGAATGTGTTCAGCCATATCCGCTGGCCACTCGATGCCAAACCTCTTCTGCCAAATTTCTGGTACATTGAAAAGATGCCCAGAATTGGCCTTGATTATTTGATTGTGAGCATGTTCATATATCATAAAGCCCAAAGCCTTCGATATTTTCTAACATCGCGACTTATACAAGGAGTTATGTTCACAGTCGTGAAATAAAGAGTATGCTCATAAATCATGATATACGAGATTTCTCTGACTTCTCATCACGGTCAATGATTGACACTTCCATTGTAGATAGTTTTGTTAGTCCTATCAATCGATCGTATTCCGATATAACCCCAGAATATGAGATTAAACGCGTACAGAACTTCATCCTCTCGCGAGACAAGACAAATTATTTTTTTAATAATGATTATATGACCACGAATATATTATATGCTACGCAATAGTTGTTTGTTCCTAACTAAACCCCATTCCCACAAATCCTCTTGCATCTTCTTTCTTGCGTTCTTCTCTCTTCAGGTTGTCTTGATGTCTTCTTCACCCCCCACCCAATTTTTATTTATGTATTTCGTTTTTAATTATTTTCAATGCAGCTCTAATATTTGTAAGAAACTTTCACCCTCCCTAGCGATCCACCCTTATTTGATGCTGAGTATCTCCCTTCACCCATCCTATTATTCCCTATTGTTTTCCTCTGACTTTTATAGACAAAAAATATCTTATAGAACAATAATTTGAATGCGTAGCATAAAGTTAAAGAATTTTTAAATGACATCAGAACTAAACCGGGCTTTTTTTTTTAAAGTGCTTTTGAGCTGTCTTGATCGACTTAAGAGGGAAGTACGAAAAGGGTTCTACCCTTTAAAATATGTAGACATTGTTGAGCAGGAAACAACAGAACATTGGAGCGTGAAGTTGTTACGCTCATATTGTAGATTATGAGTGTACTGATGTCAAGAGATATCGAGGGGCTTTTTCAATACTGAATTCTGTATCATTTCTTCCGATTGATGTTTAACTAGCCTAACCCGCGGGTGCGCCTTCAACGATATTTGTAACACAGTTTGATCTTTGTCCTGGGTGTGAATATAAGGCCAACGAAGTAGAAGCAATTGAAGATCGAAGTGAAGAGGAAGGTGTAATTACATCTTGCATAAATTTCTTGCAGACAGGACGGATGTCTTTGGATAGCGTAGCGCTGAACATCATGACTTGTTTACCATGTGGTGTGCTCCTGAATATCTCCTGTACATCTCTGCGCATATCTATAATTAAAAACAAGACAAAAGTTATTCATATAACTAAGCATGAGAACAAGAAGAGCAAAAATAATCAAACGTTTTTTTAATTTACCTAACAATTCCAACATTTTGTCACATTCATCAAGTATGAAGTGTTTCAAATGTTTAAGGTTTAACTTTTTATTCCGAACAAGGGCAAGAATACGACCTGGTGTGCCTACTACAATATGTGGGCAAGTATTCTTTAAAACTTCTTCATCTTTTTGAATTGGTAATCCTCCAAAGAACACTGCTACCTATTTTTAAAAATTGAAAATGCATTATTGTATTCTATGGACAAAAAATTAATTTAATCTAAGATTGTGATTATTTATGAAGTTACAAAATATAATTTCAAAGAATCTTCATCAGTAGTGGGTAGTGGTGAGAAATAGTGTCATCATTATTACTAAGATGTGCTTTACATCATTTGAAGATCCTTCATTTAGAAATTAAATATTCAATTTTTTATGAGATGAGTGGCAAAACATGATTGTTTTTTTTTTTTAAATATTATTAATTAACAAAATACTTTCTAACATACCTTTACATAAGGCATATATTTGCTGAACCTCTCATATTCCTTGCTAATTTGGAAAGCAAGTTCTCTTGTATGGCACATTACTAAGACATAGACTTGGTTCTCTGTTAATTCTAATTGTTGTAATGTGGCTAATACAAATACAGCAGTTTTTCCCATACCAGATTTTGCTTGACATAGAATATCCATACCGAGTACAGCTTGAGGAATACATTCATGTTGTACTGTAAAAACATTTATAGTTTACAAATGCGTTCAATCGTATAATAATGAACAAAAAAAATTCTACATTGTATCAGATATGATAAATCATTCATTACATTAATCTGTTGTCCCTATCAAATATCATCACATTATATTGTCAAATAATTAAATTGTATTGGATTTTCCGGAAAGTTTGTGCCAATTTTCAATAGATAGCAACTGAGCATGTCTGAATTTATTAGAATTGTTTAAAAAAAAAAATGAATTAACTAAATCTTACATATTAATGATAACAGATACATAAAAGTTTTGCTATTGAATATTCTGAAAAATCAATACGAATTTTCCGGTGACTTAATAAGAGAAAACATCCATTAACATTTAAACAATGTTACTCATGTAAAATGTATTAACTACCTTCAGAAGGATGTTCAAATCCACAATCAACAATAGCTCTTAATATTTCTGGTTTAAGAAGAAAATCTCTGAAACCACTGCTGTGAATAGACACATATGTGCCTTTAACTTCTTTCTTGGCTGGAACATCTCCACTTCCATCAACTACTTGCTCAGTTTGTTCCTCATCTTCATAATCCAAAAGATCGTCATTATCAGCCATATTAAAATGCTAAAACCTAAAGATAATGATAAAATTATTTTATCTTAATGCAATTGATATCATCGAAAATATTAGAGTTTATGAGTTTAGATAAAATATTTAAAAATTGAATTTCCTCAAAATTTATTTTGAGCTAATGTAATATTCATTAATAAGTATCAAAATGTTTAGGATATTATAAATAAAAAAATATTTAATATTAAATAAATATATATATAGATATAATAATAATAATAATAATAATAATAATAATTATATATATATATATGTAGTGATAGAGAGAGAGTATTAACGATTTTCAATGGAATTGTACACGTAACGGCAACCGCCATCTTGTTAATATAAAACATTTTTGTTCAGTTAAAGTAAAAAAAATAAACTAATCATCGCGTTAGAAATAAATTGATTGTACGCTTTTAATAAAAACGAAAGTTTTGCTATACGTAAAAAGTGAAATAAAATGAAATGAAACAAAAGTGGACTGGTTGTTTTAGCACGCGTTCTTTGTGGCGTCGTTTGCCTCGCGGTAGAATTTACGATGTTAGTTTTCTTCATATAATAGAACTACATAAAATAAATGATTGCTTTCAAATAAAAGCTCAAATATATTATTTCATGAATTGATCTAATTTACATAGCGATTGCCTTTTATTTGTTTAAATTATTTGGATTACGTTTAACTGACTTACCTCACAACTAGAGTTAACGGTTCAAACGTCGATTTTGCAATGCCTGAAAGTAGGAAGACCAAATCTTGTAGAAAGGTTTTTATTGTTTGCTCGTTGTTTATATGAGCGCTAGTGTTGCATCGTCAATGCACTCTGTTGAGCATTTATTGCATTAATCTGAACAATAGCATCAATTAAATTTGAAGATTGAATATAAATATATTTATAGTTGATATTTTTTAAATTTTATATCGATATGTTTCTTACAGATGTATTTTTACTTTTTATTTTGTCTATTTCCAAATTATTTATATTTTTTCATTTTAAAAACAGGGTTTTCATACGTAGCAAACTTCATGTTGCTTGCGATATTATTATATGAGAATTATTTTTGATTTCGTATTTCTTTATTGCGTAACATGGATACGTGTTTTCTAATTTTACAATTAATAGATATATTGATCAAAATAAATCAGATACTTATATATTGTCAGAATATACAAATTCATGAATTTGAATGCTGCTACTGTTATAATTATTAAATATTTATTGTAATAATAATATAGAAAATGAAATATTTCACAAATTAGATCTAATTGTGATATCTAACATAAGAATATTTATTTTTGTTACTTTTATGCATGTGCGTTATTTTATTGTATAATATATAATTACTTTTATAAAACAATCACATAGATAGTTATAATTACTTATCAATGAAAATTTGTAAAAAGGAGACAGGAGTAGTAGTCATATTGTTTAAATATGGTAAAGTTTATTTAATAACATCACAGATACAATAATTATGTACACAATCGTCGAAGAAAAATGTCAGCATTTTAACCGAACACTTTCAGCTATCCCATTTTCAATTTAAGCACTGAAGTACTAAGTTCCAAATAAAGGTGCTTCACAGGGGCGGATACTTGTCGGTTTCGAAAAGGGAATTTCAATTTTCGAAATCGTAATATATTCTAAAATCACCACTTCACCCATTCATTTATACGTAAATTAAACTTGGCTAATTACATTTATGTAGTTAGCATTCGTTTATCATTTTTCAGTTTATTATAGATTGTCTTCAGAAGAAGACAATTTATCAAAGACATAAAGTTTCAATTGGGCATCATGTCTCTGTGAAGATGCAACACATTCTGGTTTTACCATCTGTGAGGCACATGGAGGATCTATAGTACGGGGCAATAGGGTACGATTGAGCTCTGGCATGGAGGCAGTTGGATCCTTTAGAGGCAATGACATTTCTCTTAAAGAATCTGTAGGTGAAGGAGGAAGCACCACTTTCTCCGGAGCATTTTGAATAAATATCACTCTATGCAGTAAAGAAAATAAATGTCTTAGCGACATATATATTGATCTTGACATTAATAAACATTAAAGTAAATCATTTACGGATAAAATATTAATAAAATGTACCTGTTAAATGCTCGCCACTTTCTGCATAATGTAATATATGTCCTGAATTGAATATACATAAAAACTATACCTCCAGTAGAACCTATTACAACAACAATTAGTTTAGTCCAAAAAGACCAGTCTAGAAATCCACGTCGAGCTTCCTCCACCGAACGTTCGACAAGTACGTATAAGGACCAAGCTACACAAAGTGCAGCTAATCCGTGGAAAATCACTGTTAACCATAATTTACGCACCTCCAAAGCAGACATTTCTAATTTTTCCCACTAAAGAAAAAAGAAATTATAAATCAAATCAAATAATCACATGTTGATAATTATATTAATTATTTAATGATAGATTAAATTTATTATTGCTACAACAATATATCAATGTTTAAGGTTGTTACCTCATAAAATGGTTTTGTTTTAGCATGCATGACAAACGTGAATTTGCATAATTCACAAGCACGAGTATCTGATGCTTTTATCCATTGTTGTAGACATGCTTGGTGTACGTAACGTAAGCTACCACTGCAATAACATGGTGCTAACAATGGAGCACCTTCTTCACCCTCGCAATGGCAGATTCTAAATAAAAATTAATATATCAATAAAAAGATAGTAGATACATATACGTATTATTAATTTTTAAATGCGACGGCGTATAAATAGAAAGAAAAATTAATTCTAATGTAATATACCTACCGACAAATATCATGATTGCTTGAAGATAATGTGCTTACAGATGAATGACAATGCTCTGGTATAATTGTGACAACAGTGGCATATGCTGATTCCTAAAAGAAAAATAATACATATAGTACAAATTAGAATTTTTATTTTATGTAAATTTTAATGTCAAAACACACACACACACGCAATTGATGCTTAAGTTTTTATAATTAAAATAAATTTCCATAATAATTAATCTTAACAACACATCAATCAAAAATAAATGATAGGACAATGTATATTACGTTATAAATTTTGTCCACATTTTGTTACATGGAGTTAATCGATTTGGCAAATGAGTGGTTTATATATACATACTTTTTATTATTATTATTTATATTTTTAATGAAAATTAACATACTCGTGGAGTCCATTCTGGTAGTCCTTCTCCTCCAGCAGGACTATTATTTGTGGAAGGACCAAGAGATAAAGGTGGTTGCCAGTCAGGCGGATTAACATTGATCTGATGAATAGGCATCACTATCCAATCTCAATATGTTGTGATCAGTGAAAAAAGACTTTTATCTGATACATCTTTTTGAATGTTGTTTTGCACTCTTTGTGTAATGTCATGATGAAATATATTCCGAGAAATGAATGGTATTAAACAACACTGTTTGTATCTTTATGTTGTATTTAATTGGAATATATGGAAACCAACCTAGAATCATATTTTTGATTTTTAGTATTGTCACTTATAAATAATTTACAAAAATAATCTTTAGATTTTAATTAAATAATGAACAAGAATTAAATAAATGTGTTGCATTTCATGTTATTATTCACTTAAGAGAAATCTTCTTTGACATGAAATTAAAATATAATAGAAAAATGTATTATTATATATCATTTGTTTATGTAATGTACAAATCAGCCATATAAACTACTATTTTACGAGATATAATTAATATGTTCGTAACGCATTCAATAACAATCGCGATACACCGATAGCTATCATAATTTGTTCTTTATTTTATTAGTATCACAATATTTAAGTAAACTAATATGTTGAGCGAATTTCGATAATATTATCAAGAGAGTAAATCCGATGTTTTTGTAAAGATAATACTGCAAAGAGGTACTTGTTATATGCAATATCATAGCAAAAAGAAAACACAGCACTGGCGTCACATACATCTTTTCATTCCTTTGTCAATCGTTATGAAAACAGTTATTTTTTAATATGTATATATGTGTATAAATATATACACATATATATAAAATGGTAGAATGAAAAGTCGAATTTCCAAATCAACTAAACTTTTCTCTGTTACATATGTTACTACGAATGGACGGGCCGATGATTTTTGTTATGGTTAAATGTCGGCAAAGATGAAGATGGACTCGAGCGATTTTGACACTTCGTTCCAAGTCAATGACACGGCGTAGTGAGTACTGTATATACTTGATTTCGATGCAGTGGATTAATTAGCGTTCTTTAGTTTAAATTCCTTTATACGAAATTATTTGTTTATTTACATGAATATTTATCACCGTTCACTTTTTGAACGCACTTCTCGAACCGCGTCAATGTTTAACATAAAACCGAATACCGACTGCATGGCAAATTCCTAGTTTTTCTCTTTGACAAAGTTTATACTTCATTTTTATCATGCGCTGTCATAACACTGAAGTAGGCGTGGCTTAAATAGAATTAACCAATCCATTTTCTCGAGTGCACATCGAATGTTGAATACTCCAATCAATGGTTTACATTTCGGACGTAGAGATTGTTACGCGCGAAATACAAATTTCAACACAATCTATTGAATTTGTGAAACTTTTTAAATCTTAAACGATTAACTCTATATTTACAATATTTTCTCTTTTGCTTCGTTGCTCTACATAAAATGCAATTGACATACATTGGACAACTACAGTAGCCGTACACGAGATCCCATATACATACAATATCTATAGTATTGGCATATATGCATATCCATGTTTTCGAATATGTCAATTGCATTTTACGTAAAGTAATTAGATGTCTGTTATAGTAAAAGTATTAAAATATATTTCCTTAATAATGAGCTTATAACATCAATAAAATTTTGTACGACTAATGAATAATAAGTGATATAATAAATAAGTGGCTTATATATGAACTATAATTTACGTAAGTTATAAATAAAAATATATTCATTAAATTTTCTTTTGAAATCGTATTGTGATCTTATAAAAAAGTAAGTATAAGACGATAACTATAATTATTTTATATTCATCAAATGAAAAAAAACCAGAAACAATCTTAATCTGTATATGAAGAAATGAAAAGAATTATTCTTATGTTTATTTAAGATTTGTTTTCAGAATATTATTATTGATAAAAGATAATCATATAGAAAAAATACTTACTTTAAAATATAAATAAAGAATAATTAAAATGAAATCGAAAGAGAGAGAGAGAGAGTTCTTCAGTGCAATTATCAAATTTTGTTTTCAAGTTAAATAAAGAAAAAAATAGTTACTACAAAATATAAAGAAAGAATAATTAGAAAATCCAATTTTTTAATGTAATTACTAAACTTTGTTTTCATGCGTTAAACCAATCTTAAATAATTAATAATGTAATTAAAAGTAAAGCCTTATACATGACTTTTTAGAGATTTTTGATTGACATGTAGGACACTTTTTTTTTTCATTAATTACTTTTAACAAACATTTTTCACAAAATATATGTCCACAACATGTTGTCGTGGGCTTGCATTTGGCTTTTAATTCTTCAAGACATATAGCACAAGTTAACGTAGTAGGTTCAAGAGTACAAGAGTCATTAATACACCAAGGACCGCTCTTGCTAGGTGAAACAGTATCATCTAGATAAATTTCTTCTGGTTCTTCAATTATATTCGCATTAGTATTAGTTCTATTTCTGTTGGAAGCTGCAGCTTGTCTTACATTATCATTTCTAATCCTTCTTCTATTAGTATGATTATTATATGTAGTAAGTGATATAGTCGCAGCTAAAGAATCACTAACAAAATAAATATAAAATTAATTCATTAAAAATAATAAGAAAGTAAAATTTACAATTATGTTTTGTATAATTATTTTACTAACTAATGTTTACATATATTTATCTTATTGCGGAAAAGAAAAAATATTTACATAACAGTTGAGACTAATGATGCCTGCTCTTCGTTTAATCTAAATCTATATGATTGTGATCCATGGCAGTATGATTCATCTGTTAAATCAATAAAGTCAATAATCTCTTCTCCTTCATGAGAAGTTATTCTGTTATTCCAAGTTGATGCCATTTTAAACAGTATATATCTCTGAAAATAATTAAAATTAAAATTATATAAGATTATTTAACAAGAAAAGTAATGTGTTATGACTGTTGAATAATAAATGAAATGACAATATAAAATTTATATTAGGTATCACTGATCAGTAAGAATATAATAATTCAAAATAATTGATATTTTTTTTAAAAGTAATTATGTAAATAATATACTCTAACCCTTTATTAAAACTTACATATTTACAAAATGTTAATTTAACGACGATTAGTATTTCTTTTTTTTAGATAAACGTAAACAAAATATATACTTAAACGTATAGGTATCAAAAGGTGTTCTTTTAGTAAATTATTTATTAAGAAATTGTGTTAAAGAGGAACTATGTACATTATATCTGATATTAATTGTAAATTTATCATAAAGAAATATATTTAAACGTTTTATTTTATTACTTTCAATGAACACAATAACACAACCGTAAATTCCAAATTTAGTCGATCAAAAAAAAAGCAGTTACACGATTAAAGCATATATATACAATATAATTAAGAGATTAGAAACCATACGTGAATATGAAAAAATGGAAAGCTAACAAAAGTTAATTTTATTATGCTTCTATATACGACAAAAATAATACTAATATTTTATAAAAGTTAATTTTTGTTATTATTTACCTTTATTATTAACTTCACTTAAATTTGAATAATCTCTACTAACTGTAAATTTTAAATTGTCCTTAACTGATGATAAGATTTGAGAATTACTCGAAGTTACTTTGACCAACTTTGATTTATTTATGGGATTAATTACATGTATAACAGAAATACTTTGAGGGAAAGAAATGCACCACGAAGCTTTTCTTAAAAATGCATTTTACTTTAACTTCCCTTACTATAAACTTTATCTTACTTGGTTGATGTTCAACTGTATAAATTACTGTATTTTAATGTCAATTTCTTCTTTTTGTGCTTAAAGCAAAATTCGTTAATACGGGTTGCCAATAGTCATGAATTGTCTTATATAGTAATTTCGGAATGGGGACTAATGCCCAGTGAAATCTAGTTTATTACTAGCTAGGGGGAGGGGTATTCACTCCTGTTACCATCTTCAAACTTGTTTAACAATGGTAACATTTAATTGGTTGCATTTTCTATCATAATATGTAAAGACGCCTTGTTGAACAGGATGTACACACGTTTGTAATATTTTAAAGTTGGTCTCTGTTTTATCGTAGTCGAATAATGTAGTTTTTGTTTCTGAATGTATTAATATACGTTTGTGTGTATGGGTGTTAACAAATTTTTGGTATTTGTTTAATATATCAATTATATATTTATTTTTATAACATTTTTTTTTTATTTAAGTTTCATTGGTGATTGTTAATTTTCATTGATTCTTGTTTAATAATAAATCTTTTCAGATTTTTTCTATTCATAGGTAGTAATATTATTAAGAGTATCAGAAGAGGATTAGACGTAAATAGAATTATATATTAGATGATAAAATAATAAGATAGGTTAGTATTAATATTTGAAAATAGATATTTTATTATATAAAAAATGATTGAATTACAAACTTATAAGAAATTAGAAAATTAATATTATATATAAGAAAACAAAATTACAAATATGTACTTTAGAATAATACAATATATGTTATACTAATGATATTATATTATTAACATTTTTTTTCATTTAACTCTATGCATAATCTTAAGTATTGGTTCATTCAGGGTTTTTGGATCATACGGTATATTCCTACCTTTACCAGGTATTAACATAGGTACTACTTTAACGCGAAAATCATAAGGAAGATAATTATGACAAAAATCATAAAAATCATTGGCTGTACGAATAATCCCTTCAGTAGCCATGTTTTCCATTAAATTATTTAATAGAGTTTCATAGTCTTCGTACTTTTTTGCCTTAGTAATAATGGATACAACATCGGATAGTTCTTGCACAAATTTTTCAGAACGCACTCTTGTAAATAATTCGTATTTTGGTTTCATTATTTTCCAAAGGAATTGATAAAGACGATTGGTCACCCAAGTTTGTGGACGTGGAAGTTTCGGTCTTTTATACACTTTTCCGTTAACTATATAAGCTTTATCAATAATTTTCTTTGTTTTTGATTTGTTTGTTTCCATATTTCGGAGTTCTTGTATTTTTTCTAATATTTGTTTTTTTTTTAATGACGGATTTTTTTCTGTGGCAAATTGTGTATCAAGAAATTTACTAATATGTATCTTCGGTTTCTTAGCCACTTCTTTCTTTTTCTTGATTTTTTCATTTTCCTTAGTATTACTCAGACTTTGAAGATGTTTAGATTGTCTTGCATTGATCGGAGAAATTAATTTGGAAGTCGTTGAAGTAAAGTATTCATTAATCTTTTTCTGGCGATCGGTATTAATTATATCTGATATTTCACGATTAGGATAATCTATGTAGTTTGCATTTTGTTTATCGTCAGGATCATCGACAACATCCATTATTCTTGAAGATATTTGTTTCAAGCTAACTGCATTCATATCTAAGTCCTTTACTAACGTTTTATTATTAGCTTTTAATAGATTTTCTTCATTCTTGTTAGAAATATTGTGAATACTTGTTTTCTGTAATGTAGATATGTTTTTTTTTAATGTTTCATTTTTACTTATATCTTTTATTACATTGGCTGTGTGCCATGACTTATTATCACTGTTTATTGTATGCATTTGATTTTCTGGAGAAATAACACCTTTTTCAGTAATATTCATTGAATTATTTTTTGTTAAACTTCGATCGCGCGTATTATTTTTTATGTTTGACTCGGGCGATAAACTGGATGACATTCTTTTTCTTTCAATATCATTGATTTCGGTAGATCTAGAATTAGATAAATTTGTAAAATTTGTTGATGCCATGTCGGTAGATATTGTTTCAAACTTAGCACTCTTGTCAATAATTCTGTCTGCCAAATTTCTTTCATCGATATCGGACGATAAACTGGATGACATTCTTTTTCTTTCAATATCATTGATTTCGGTAGATCTAGAATTAGATAAATTTGTAAAATTTTTTGATGCCATGTCGGTAGATATTGTTTCAAACTTAGCACTCTTGTCAATAATTCTGTCTGTCAAATTTCTTTCATCGATACTTTCACGTTGCGATGCGTTGATATTTTTTCTTAAATTAGAATTATTTATTCTTAAATTTATACTATCCTCCATTTTACTTTTATTCGGAGTATTTATATGTCTCACACTTGCTAACGACGTTTCGTTTTTATTTCCAATTTCGCGACTTTCAATTATTTTGTTTGTGGCAGAATTACGAACTTTTGTAGGAGTGGTAGAATGCATTGTTGTATCTACAATTTTTTCTACTATAGAAGATTCTTTTTGATTTGTAGAAATATTTTTGGATGTACTTTTATTTGAATGATCATGTGTAAGTTTAGGTATTAATTGTAAATGGCTACTCTTCTCACTGCTACTTAAAAGACTAAAGCTAGAATTACTACGATTTTGAGGAATTAAATCATTATCGTTATAATTTAAAGTTTCCGGATTTGTGATGGATGTTTTAAACACAGTTGCTCCTGAAGATGACAGTTTGGATTTTTCTTTTTTTGATTTGTCCAAAACATCTTTTTTCGACGTGTTCTTTTTGTCCATTAATTTAGCAGAAGAATTTGAAGAGGACGTTTCAATTTTTTCTGATTTATTATCTGAATCATCATTTGCTTCGAATAGATTTTCAAACGCATTATAACTCTTATTTTTTAATTTTTTCCTAAAAATATTGTGCTTAGGTTTTAAGATTTTATTTGAGATATCACTTTGATCAGTGCTTTTATTACTAGTATCCTTAATTTCACTTGTTTGTTTTTTTGTATGATCTAATTCTTGTAATGATTTTTTACTAGGTGGTGGTGTATCATTCGTATGCTTTGTAATAGAATTTTGTGGCAAATTTGATTCGGATGACTCTAAACTTTTTGAATCATCCAAAGCTTTTTTAAATATATTACTTATGTTTTCGTTAGGTTTTTTACGTATTTGAATTTTCCTTTTTCGCAATGGTAGATCGGTTTCCTCTTCATCCGTATCAGATGTAATATATTTATTTTGAATCTCTTGTTGAGCAGCTTCTACATGAATAGAATATTAAAGTTGAAATAATATTGTAAATTTATTTTCTTATCTTAATTTATTTATATTTTACCTATGCGTCCTTCACTCTGTGAAGAATCTGATGTTTCTAGTACTTTCCACCATTGATGATTTCCACCAACTGATTGAATATGTGAATCGGCGTGTAGATATTTGCTTGTATCGTTAAATGCACTGTATTCTTTGGAATGTGATGCGGTAGTGTTCGACAACTTATTCCACCAAAAAGGTTCTTCTAAAATGGAAAATAATTTAAATGGTTTAAGATAAATTATTTAACACAAACCAATTTATGTTTAAATGATTGTACGCAAAAAGAAAACAATAATAAGTAGAGGAAGAGCATTATCTATTTTATTAAATGTATCAATTTACAAAGTATTTACCTTCCTCAAGTGATTCTGAATTTGGATTCAGAAAGCCAGATCCTGCACTGGATCTATGACTGTATCTAGATAGGCGTTTGTTGATACTTTTTCTCTTAGCCATATCTCAGTATATTTGTGATCTTAAGTAAAAAAATTATTATTACATATTAATATCATATTGTTATAAAGACGTATCATATAAATTTGATGTTAGTAAAATGAAAGGTTATAAGGTTAATAAGAAATTTTAATCGAAAATTCTTTACGCAAAAATTATATTTCAGATATACTTAAAATATTAAATAAATTCGTTACCATATATTTATTTTTTCACTATTAATACGAGTAGAAAAAAAAATATTAATTATTGTGTTGTTACTATCATTCAATGTCACGAAGAATTGTTTTTCTATTTTGGCAAACTACTTGAGCGCTAGCACTCTATCATAGCTAACAGCGTTTCTATGGGAACGTTAAGGTTTCCGTAGTTACAAAGACTTTCTTCTTTCGTTGTTAGAAAATAAATTAGTTAGTCAAGAAGTTGCACTTATTCGCTCCACAACGTATTAATCCTCAACGCATTTTTGTTATCCGTTTTTGTTCTTGTTTTCGTTTTGTTCTGTAATAGTTTATAAATAAATAAATGTTACATAAAAATAGTAGTGGTGATCAGAGTTCAAACCAATAGTATTCTAGTTCCTGATTCTTGCCGCTACACTATGGTAGTAGCTATTGCCATCTATTGGTGAAAATAAAAAGTTTCTTTGATAGATTTCTTTTTTATCTACCATCCTATGATAATTTATCGACAGAGTAAATAAACTTGCAACACATTTCATTCTGCGAATTTATATTTCTCTTGTAAGATGGCGACACTAGTTCACGCTTAAAAATTGTTTATTTTTTTTTTGAAAAAGAAGAATAAAACAATACACGTGTATTTACATATATATAAAACATAGAAGAAATAAAAAAAAAAATGTTAAAAATAATATTTTCTTCGAATATAAAAATCGTCGACAAAATTTTTCAAAATCAAATTAATGCCGAAAATTTCTAACGTGGAAAAATATAACATAGGGTCACAGTATTGTCAGCGAAAGAATTAGCGCTTTTAGTCTTATCATTTCTAAAATGTATATATATATATATATATATACATTTTATATATGTATATATATATATAATTAAAATTTTGGGTCTCGATCTTGCAAATGAAATTTTGCAAAATGGAGATTGAAGAAAGGAAGGAAGGAAGGAAGGAAGGAAGGGACGTTGTAAAGGGATTTATCTCTTTAAGATATTAGAAATACAAAGTCTTGCGACGAGTTGAATCTTAACGAGCACGGAACATCGAACTTCCCGTGTGTAGCGACGTGGGTTGGGATTTTGCAATCCATCCGGTAGACGTTTCCTGGAAGGGTGTTGAATGAAGAAGTGTGGAGGTAAGATAAAGATAGGGTAAAAAATAGATGAAAATAGAAGAAGAAGAAGAAGAAGAAGAAGAAAAGAAAAGAAAAAAAAGATGGAAGACACAGGAGGACAGGAGAAGAGAAGAAGGTCGAAGGAGATCCCCAGTCCGCAGAAAGGCTCTATTTGGCCATGGAAATCGGTAAAGGAGGTCAGCGTATGCAAATAACAGGGTCGTGAGGGTTGCCAGAGCCAGGAGGGTCCCATGGGTCAACGGACAGGAGGGTATAGCCTCGCTGTGCAGCCCTCTCTTGTCTCTATCGCCTTCAGCTCACTCCCACTCACTTACCCTTTTTCTCGTTTTCTCTTTCTTTTGCTTCGTCCCATCGCATTTCTCTCTCTCTCTCTCTCTCTCACTTTTTCTCTTTTCTTTTTTTTCTTTTTCACTCTTTATCTTTTTCTCTCTCTTTCTCTCTTTTTCGTACGCTCATCTACAACACTCGTTCCGTCCTCCTTTCCATCATTTCCTCTTCGTCTTTTTCCCACTCTCTTTCTCTCTCTCTCTCTCTCTCTCTCTCTCTCTCTCTCTGTCTCTCTCTCTTTCTACACGTTCCCTCTATCATTTCTCCTTTCCCCGTTACTCCCTCGACGCTTCCACGAGTTCTCACAGCAGCAACCGTTACGGCCCCATATATTTCCACGGTTGGCGGTGGTGGTGGTGGTGGTGGTGGTGGTGGTTGCAGCAGAGTCACGTCTATGGACATAAAGGTGGCTCTACTCTACGCCTCCTCTCCCATGCCCGACCAACGTTCGCCTACGCCCGTGGAAATATTCGATTTTTACGATACGAAACGCGAAGCACAGGGGCTTCAGCACGCACGCACACCAAAGGGCCCCGTCGTCTCTCATTCCCATTTTTCTTCTCTCTTTCCCTCTTACGCGCCCACCAACCAACCAACCAACCAACCTCCGCGTGTCGCGTCCTGCACACTTTTTCGATTCACCGATTCCAACTTTTTCATTTTTCTTCTCCCCCTCTACCTTTCTTTCTCTCTCTCTCTCTCTCTCTCTTTCTCTTTTTTTTTTCCCTCTTACTATATCGGGGAATGTCGACTTTTGAGCTTGTAAAATACGAATTTTTACGAAACATCTGCTTATGACTTATGACGCTGTTCAATTTATTTCAAGTATTTAACTTTACCTTATTGTTTAAGATAACTAAATTTCTATTTGTCTCTTTTATAAGATCTATTTTAGATTCGTCAAAAAAAATATATTGTATGATATTATATCGTATTGAGAAGGTATCACAGAGAATTTGGACATAGAAAAATGAAGTCAACTTAGTAAAATTAAGTTCTACTTCTTTTTTTTTTATGTCCAAATTCCCTGTGATACCTTTTCATTAAGAATTTTATTTTTGGACGAGAGAAACAACTGATTAAATTATATCGTATGTGTATTAATTTTTTTTGAATTTGACAGGGGCGGGGACAAGGGGTACGAATTAGAGATCGAAACGTTCATATTCAGTAGCCCATTTTTTTCCCGCTCCCCCCCCCCCCTCAAATATAGTTCGGGTGTAACGCGGAGGGGGGGGGGGAAATGTTCGACGAGTACGTGTGTCCCGTGTGCTGACTAATCCGCTGAGTGTTAATTAAAATAAAGGCTCGCGCCGGCGTATGCGGGCGGCCAGAAATTAGCGTCTGGCTTTTTGTAGAATGGACGCGTGTGGTGAGAAAAAGAAAGATAGAAAGGAAAGAGATAAAGAGATAGAGAGAGAGAGAGAGAGAGGGTGAAGGGATAAGGGAGAGAAGAGGAGTGGACGAACAACCAGATGTTCACCCTTTTGTTAGCAGCTTTCCAACGAAGCATCGCGCATTCGCATTTTTGTATTCTCTTTCTAATTCTCTTTCCCTTTCTATCTCGTTGTTAACTTAAACGAGACACTCTCAAACCTGAGAGGGATATTTTCCTCTACTTTCATCGTTAAAATTATCTTTACCAAAGGTTTTTTTTTGTTACGTTATGTTAAATGTATCTTATCTAACATATTTGTATATTTATGATTATATTGTTGTTAATAAAAATCGAACGAATTAAATATGTATGTCAATATAATAATTATCGTGTTTAGAAAATTAGAAAATTCAATTTTATAATTTATTATAAATAGATAATTATATTTCTCTCATCTTGATTATATTTATTTATTTATTCTTATTCTTATTCTTCTTCTTCTTTTTTATTATCATCATTGTTTTTTAATCGAGACGACTACTACACTTCGTAGTAATTAACGAAGACAATTATTTTGTCGCGTTGTCTTTATCATACCTTATTTTTTATACATTTTTATTTCTTTTTTTTCTTTATCAGGGGTGGAAGGAGAGGTAGCCCAGACAGAAGCAGCAGCCAGCAGCCGGTACTTCGTGAAAGTTCGACGAAACAAAGAAAGTATACCTACGTGATATCGTTAAGGATCGATAGAATGTACCGGCGGCGGGTAGTAGTTTTCGCGCGAATCGAAAGTAAGATAAAAAGAGGAAAAAAAAGAAAAAGAAAAAGAGAGAGAAAGCTTGGTGCTGGTTGATGGTGCTGGTGCTGCTAGCTCGGCGCGTTAAATTCGTGGGTTTTCTGCGGATCGGCGTACGGTTTGATGGCTAGGGTTGGGCGGTAGCCACAAGTGTCTGCCTGAGCGCCCTCTCTCATTAATTCTCTACCCTTGTTGCTTGTTAAGGTAGGGGTCGGGTTCGTCCCTGCCTCCACGGACTCCGAACATCCCTCGGGCCACCACCACCACCACCACCACCACCACCACCTCTTTGCCTCCTCCTCGTCGTTCCTTCCTTCCTTCCTTCCTTCCTTCCTTCCTTTCCCTCTCTTCATCCCTCTACTAGTCAACTCACTTTTCTGCCCAAGTCAGGAGGGTGGAAATGCTTTCTCGAGTGCACACTGAAGAAGTAGGATGAGGATGAAGAGGAGGAGGAGGAGATGAAGCTGCCGACAGTGGTGGTGGTGGTGGTGGTGGTGGTTGGAAAGAGGGAATGTGAATTGAGGGTGGGAGAGACTGAGATGGGAGATAAGTGAGAAAGAAAAATAGGAGCAAACGGAATACGGAGTTGAAACGCGACAAAGAAAGATTCGAGAGAGAGAAAGAGAGAGAGAGTGAGAGTGAGTGAATGAGTGGGTGGGTATAAGGTAAGCTGTCTGGTAGGAATATATTTCGTATACCCGTTAAGTGGCCCGATGCAAATCGAACTTTACACCGGTGGACATGCTGTGTGGGCGTGCGTGAGATTATAAAAGAGAGACGATTAACTAACGTTTGTGATTCCTTTGTATTCGATTTTACATTTTATATCCATAATAAACCCCCCTCTGCAGCCCCTAACCCCGTTGCTTTTCATTGTCACAACGCGTAACAATATATTCTACATATTTCTATTGTATGTGTGTGGAAAATACGTTATTACGTGTGTGTTAAAGCGTGAAAAGTTCATTCGTAATCAGATAAACGTTCCTACGTCTGTACAAGGTAGTTTCATTTCATTAAATAGGATCTATGTTACCCCATAATAATACTTACGGCTATATTAATGCGCGTTCGGTTAATTGCATATCGCAAGAATAATAGGATAAAGCACGTGTTTCAATTCGCTGATATTATTTATCCTTTTTTTCCCCGAGACCTTTGGCTTTTAACGATCCACCTCCATGGGTTTGCTAACGGAAGATGATAAACGAGAACGGGAATATCGTTCGGGACGAATATCCCATCCATTAACAAGTCCATCTTGCTTTGCTTACTTGCTTGCTTGCTTACTTGCTTGCTTGCTTTCTGTTCCTTTGGAAGAACTTTTTCCTCCTTCTCCCTCATCAAACCCCCCCCACCGTGAATCCTCTTCCTCCTCCTCCTCTTATCTCCGGTTCCACGTTCGTCCTGTCTCTCATCCTTTACCCCACGTTCCTTTTGCGTGGCATCCTTCCTTTTCGATAACGA